TCGTCGTCGTCGTCGTCGTCGTCGTCGTCGTCGTCGTCGTCGTCGTCGTCGTCGTCGTCGTCGTCGTCGTCGTCGTCGTCGTCGTCGTCGTCGTCGTCGTCGTCGTCGTCGTCGTCGTCGTCGTCGTCGTCGTCGTCGTCGTCGTCGTCGTCGTCGTCGTCGTCGTCGTCGTCGTCGTCGTCGTCGTCGTCGTCGTCGTCGTCGTCGTCGTCGTCGTCGTCGTCGTCGTCGTCGTCGTCGTCGTCGTCGGTTGTCGTTGCTCTGGTCCGTGCCCTGTTTGGGAGCTCCACCTTAGCCGGGCGTCTGGTTCCGTGTCGTGCTGGGTCTGCGCGGTGCTCTGCCCGGGCCGCCGTTGCCGTGATGCCGTGCGGTGCCTTGCTCGGGGTCCGTGTTGTGCTGGGCCTTGGGTCCTGGCGCCGTGTCTTCCCCTGCCGTGCCGTCTCGCCCTTGTCCCCTGTGCCTGCTGTCCGGCCGCCCGTGCTGGGCGTGCACGGGGGTGAAGCAAGATTGTCCCACGCTCGCTGCTGCACCCGCTGTCTTCTCATGTTTCATCCCTTGCTGGCAGCGCGCGCGGATCGGCTCCCCACGCGTATTGCTCGGGCTGGGGGAGCTAGCCCTCTCTCAGTGGGCTGGCGCCGTCGTCCTGCGGCGCGCGGTGGTGGGCGGGTCGGCGGGGGCTGCGAGCCTGCTGCACTTCCACTGGGGGTCCCACGAAGGGCGGTGGAAGACCCGACCCTAGACGGGAGCACCCTGCGCCCCGCCTCGCCCGCATCCTCCCTGGGGGCGCGCCGGGTCGCTGCGAGGGTCCGCGGGCCGGCGGCGCAGGCGCGCGGCGCGCGGCGCGTCGTCGGACTCGTGGCCGCCGCTGCGGAGGCAAAAAAAAAAAAAAAAAAAAAAAAAAAACATTGCGCGAGGCGGCGCTCGCTCCACAGCAACCCTTCGCTCGGGTCTAACAGGCTGGCGGCCACGAGAAGCAAGGGCTCGTATACTGCGGGATTGGTCCGCGCGTATGAGGGCGCTCCTGGCGGGGCCCAGCCAGGAAAAGGGCGGCGCTGCGGCAGCGGCGCGGTGGCTCGCCCCTGCCCTGGCAGGAGGGGCCTGCAACGGGCCGTCGGCTGCCGCGGCCCGCGCGGCGGGTGGATCTTGCATTCCCCAGGCGTCTGGTTCGCAAAAGCCGCATCTCCATTCCCCTTCCGTCGCGCTGGCTCCTGGTGCCCACGTGCCCAACTGCAGGCACCTCGCGTACACTTGTTGGCCGCCTCGCGGCGCGATCGCCCCCAGCGCGCAGGACGCCCTGCGGCGCAGGCAGATCCAGGATTCTAGCCACTTCGCGATCCTCCCGCCTGCGTCTCGTGCCGCGACAGGCGGCGGCCATTCCACGCGGCCATCTGGCAACTCGGTGAACTCTGGCCGCGGGCCCAGGCGTCGGCAGCAAAGCGCTCGGAGCAGCGGTGGCTCTGGCAGTGGTAGCTTGTCGCCGCGCGCGTAACTCCGGAAGCCCCCGTAGACGGGGGCGGCCAGGGCGCGGGTGCCGCGGGCAGGGGAAGGCGGTCGGCCCACCTCTACGTTTTGCGCCGCGCGTAAATGGCGGTTGGCAGTCGGGCCCGGCACAGCGGGCAGGCTGCGGCTTCGCCTTGAGGGCGGGCTGGGACGGCGCGGCAGCCTAGGTGGATCTTGCCGCGCTGCCCCGGTCGGCCCAGCGCGGGCAGGACATGGCTGGAGCATCGCGGGCTGCCGCTGGACGGCAGTGGCAGCCTCGTGTTCGCGACGCTCTGCGGCCCCCTTGCTGGCGCGGCGTCGGTTTGGCAGCGTTTGCACCTTTTCTCCTCTACTCGCGCGCCCCCACCCAAACTGCATCGTGACGGCGATGGCGCCCTCCTTCGTTGGTGTAGTCCCACGCGGACGGCCTTCTGACGCTGGATCCGCGGCTCCCGTGTTCGACGAGCGCGCGCGTGAGCTTCCCGAAACATGTCTTGCATGCCGGCCGCGCGCGGGCCGCAGTCGGTGTCGTGAGCTTGGCAGTCTAGCCGCAGAGTGGTTTGCTCTTCGGCCTCTGCGCTGCCCTGCGCTGCCCTGCGCTGCCTGGCGCCTCAGGTGGGACCGATCCTTGAAGTAGGCCTGCCGTTTGGAGATGCCATGCTGCTGCGCGGCCTCAGCGCGGCGCCTGGAACGTCGGCGGTCCTTTGTGGCCGGGCTCCTGCTAGATCCTCTCCAACACAATTGCGACGATCTCCACCAGGTCGGAGGGAGCGCAGCGGTCCAGAACAGCAAAAAGGCGTTCGACGCATTCTTGAAGCGTTTCCTGCTCACCACCGTGCTCGCTGCGGCAACCACGAATGCCTCGCTCTACGTGTCCGGCGCCGCAGCGAGGCTGGGCTCCGAGATGCTGGCCTTGGCGTGTGCCTCGTTCTTCATTATGTTCCTGTGGCTGACCTCGGAGGTGGCTTCGCTGACCCACAACGAGAGGAAAGATGGTACGGCACTCGTAAAAAATATCGTCCGCATTTTGCAAGGCTTCACTTGGGCGACGGCGATCGCTGTGGGAGGCCTGAACGGAAGGATTCCCTCAGCCAAGGCTCTGGACAAGGTGCGCCAGCAAGCACAAAGAAGAACAGCACCAAGAAAGGCACAGGAGAGAGGGAGCGACGACCACTCTAGGCGATCCCGATCCCACACTAGATTTCTACAGCTGAGGATAATTAAAATAGGACAGCTATCTTGTGCAAGGCGTGTCTGGTGGCAGACGCGTTTGTCCTGCTCGCAGTCGGCTCCTGTTTGAATGGCGACATCGAGGCCGGGGCTACAGATGGGCACAATGTTTGTGGTGGTGTGGAGTATCGGGCTGGCACTGTTCTTGAACCCCATCTTCCTTGGAAGAGCGGTCTATCTGTTCGCTGGACCAAGAGAGGGCCATCGGCATCTGGAACGGCCTGGTGCTGGCATGCATCGCAGCCCGCGCGGCGAAGTTCGCAGCGTGCCTTGGGCACTCTGCGCTTGGCTACTGACGGGGCAAGTCTGTGAAAGTGCAGAAGCTCGCTGGCGTGAAAAAGGTACGCGCTTGGGCCGCGGACGCAGTACTCAAGGAGGAGGGCTTCAAGCTGTCCACAGCGTACACCTTGGTGGCAGGCCCTGACTTCGCAGCACACGCGCTCTGCGGCATTCCCCGGCTGGACATTCCCCAGATGCTCCGTGGCACAGTCCCAGTCACCTCGCGAGCATTATCCCGCATACCCTCGTTGGCGTTTCGCTGACAAAGGAGGCGCCACGGAAGGTGGAGTGTGATCGCCACTCTGGCCACCAAGCGCGCTGCTGCTTGCCAGGCAGGCGCCACCCTCGCCGTCGCCTACGGCATCATGGAGCGAGTCGAGGCGTCGGGAGGGGGGGAGCTTCTGAAGACGCCTCCGCCAGAGCACGACGAGGTGCGGAAGCTTGTGGAGGAGACGAAGTACGTGAAGGCATACGGCGAGGTATCCGATCAGGGGGGGGCGGTGACGGACGGCAAAGGACGAGGAAGGCAAGAGCCAATGATTTCAGTTCGTCCCCCGAAAATGCTCAGTGGCGTCAACACCACTGAACACCTGGCTATCGAAATTCTTCGCCGAGCCTTTCACCGGCGTTTCCCTTATAGCACGGGTTGTCGTCAAATTTGTCGCTCGGGGCACTGTTGTAAGCCAGACTGTGCCTAGGAGGAAAGGCAAAACAGCCAACCATCACAAGACTCCAACACAGTCGGTGAACTCCCCAATCAGCCGACCCCACAGGGAGGGAGGACGGCAGCACGATTGCGCAATCATTACCTGCTCCAGTGCGCACAGAAAGACGCCTGTGCGTTGTAAACTCCCTGTTGGGATCTAATCAAGTTTGCTTGCTTTTTCACTGAACCAAACGGCTATGGATACATCCCTACCTTACCTGCATCTTCCTACCTTCCCATGCTAATGATACACTGCTGCATGAACACATGAGCACTCTGATCACCCCGCCTCGGGTCCAGGCAACAAATTGATGCCAGATCAGAAAATCTTATATAAACTGGTAGCGGAGCGGTGGCCACGGACCTACGCCAGAAAGCCCGGTTCAGGCCAGAAGTCCCTTCTGAGTCACGGCCCTGCTCGAGTCGAAGACCAAGCCGGCTGTCGTAAGCAAAGGGTCCCTCATGCCGACGGCCATCGCCTTCGTCAGAGGGTCGGCCATCTGCTCGGTAGTCCGAACCTTCACGATCCGAATGTCGCCGCTCGCCACTCTATCTTGTAGCCACAGATAACGTGTATTGACATGTCTCTGCTTGCCCAACCCTCGGCGGGTTGCGAATCCCTTCGCTGCCGCGCAGTCCGTCTTCACGTTCAAACGGATTGCAGAAGACAGCCCCCAGTCCGCCATCAGGGATTTAATGCCCAAGGCATGGGCACTGCCTTTCACTGCCGCGTAGTACTCGCTCTCGCCGACGTTCAACGCGATCGCGCTCTGCACTGTCGAACTGCTCTTGAGCAAGTGCTTCCCGAAGAAGATTGCCATCCCGCTGGTGCTCTTCCTGGTGATGATGTCCCCGGCGTGGTCTGCATCAACCCAGGCGTCTAACGAGTTTGGCATCGCCTGCTTCGGAAACTTCAGGATAGCTCTCGGCCGTCCAAGCACATAACGCCCAAGACGCTTCAGCTCCTGGAAATTGAACTCATTGGGGCTCTTCATGCTCTGTGCAAGACATTTCACTGCCTCCTGGATGTCCAAACGGTCTTGTCCAAGATAGCTTGCCCGCATAACACAGGAACGATACAGCGTCGCCTCAGAACTCGAAAGTACTCTGCTGTCTGCACCCTTCCATACGTCTGACTCAGAATGTTTCACACGTGGCGTATCTACAGATTTGGCCTTTTCTAACCCCAAGTCTCGTGCAAGAAGCTCTGCGTGCCTACGGTCTCCTTCGATCTCAATACCGTCCTCCGTGATACGAACAATCCGGTTCAAGATGCACGCCTCCTGGGAGTCACCTGCCTCCGTGCCAAGCGTTGCCACGTGCTTGCAAGTGAACTTAGAATTTAACAGCGTGTCCATTTCCGTAATTGAACGTTGATCACCCAAGAGAACAAAATCATCTCCGTGGACGAAAAGCCTCGATCCATCAAATGGGTTGTAGAATATAGATGGGTTCGTCTTCCCAGGAACGTAACCCTTCTTAGCCAAAAGGTCGGTGTAGTTCTTCTGCCACAGGTGGCTTGCGTCCTGAGTTCCGTACATGGTCCTCTGAAGCAGCCCAACATGAGTGTGTCTGTCGGGATCTCCCTCTGGCAACTTGACAAACAGCCTCCGCTCGCACTTCGACATGAAGTGCGCCCGCGAGATGTCCCAGAACGCTAGCTTGAGCTCGGCGCCCCTGGAACTCCGCTGTTGCGTCGCCTGGATACTGCAGAGAAGCTTCAAAGCCTCCAACCACGGCATGGCGGAGAACAACTTCTCCGGACTCAGCTGCTCGAACTTCGCCTTCTTGCCCTTCGTGGCCTCCATCACGACCAATCGAGAACGCACGACAGGTTTATTAGCGTCGCCCTTGTTGGTGTCAATCCAGAGCAGCGGAATCGCAGTAGCGCCCTCGCTCTCCATGACCTCCCGCGGGACCTTGGTGTACACGCCCTCCTTGGCAACCCAGTCCCGCTCCAACTGCCTAGCGTCCTCCACCAACCTCGTCGGTAGAATCCCGCCGTTGACGTCGTCGTAATACGTCTTCCACTGTTCGTCGCTGTACACCTCCGGCTCCTCAGCTATGGGCCCAGCCGTGCAGATGTCCATACTCGACAACTCCATCCGGTGAACAAGCTGATCACGAACCACACGTAAAATCGCATACATCAGCCTCGGCGGATATATCTGCGTAGACCTCACCTTCTGGAAACCAACTGGACGTACATGCCGATACCAACCACTCTTGCCCTGCAGGCTCACACGCTCGTCCTGCAGCATAGCGGCCAACTCTCGCGAGTTCGTTAACCACGACGTTTCTCTGCGCACGTATCCAGATCTTCCGCTCTGGATGGTGCCTGCCAGCCGCCATTTGCACATGGGACCGGCCACCTTGTACACTCCCGGCATGTTCTCCAGCTCCGCCATGATGTCCTCGTCCCTGGAGGTGGTAATCCCAGGAACCTCATGCAAGAACAACTTGCCCATCTTGATCTGCTTCCGGTACGCGTCGACACTCGCTCTCAAGTGCCTCCGGCCGTCCTGCATCTCTAGGCTCACGGTGTTTGGGTCCAAGTTTACTCTCGATGGCGACCGAAGCCTCGAAAACACAGTGCTCGATGGACACCCGATCAACACCTCAGGCTTGTACTTGTCCTGGAGCTTATCTAACATGTCTATGTCCTCATCCCGTGAAAGGTCCCAGAACTGCCCGTCAGGTCGCTGAAGTTGTAAATCAATGGCGAAACCTGCACGAAGTCCAAGACGACGATTGCCTCGGGAAAAGACCTCACTGACGTCCATTGCGGACATCTCGACTGCTATCCGGGATACCCCCCGGATGCCCTCAGAGTCGCCCTCGAACTCCGAGCCGGTGTAAAACTCCGTCACGTGCTTAACCGTCTCTGCGAAGTACTTGTCCTTGTACGCAGAGAACGCACCCACGTCTGCATTGTGCGCCTGGCCCACCGCCGGCGCCGATTTTTCTGAGATGCCACTCGTCCCAGCCATGGCTCCTGAGCTCGAGCCCGCGGCGGGTGCCGCCGTCGATGCACTCGAACCGCCTGCCTGCACGTCCGGCCTGGGCACCGCCGGGTCGATGTCCTCCAGGGGCACTCCGGCCGGTCTCTTCCGAGGTCCCGGGGATGCCGGCCTCGCTTTCGAGCTCGCTGGTCCTGCGCTCGATGGCTGTCCTGCTCGCTTAGGCTGCCGATGTCGCACTTCATGTTGCGCTCGGGCTTCACTACCTGCATGTGGTTCCCCTTCTAATTGTAGATGGGGCTGTGGGGGAGGTACCCTGGTCTCTGTCCTAACCTCCGGCGCATCCTCCAACATCTCTCCTCCAATGCCCTCCTCCACAGTCATGTCCACCTCCTCCTGCTCCTCCTCCGGCTTCTCGCGCACGGCGTCCTCCACCTCAGGCTCCTGCTTGGCATCTGGCGCTGCCGTCGAAGCCTTCTTCCGTTTTCTCGCCGCCGCTAGCCGGAGACGACCGTCCGGGTCCTTCTCCATCGCCTCCACGATCCGTGAACGACACGTCGGTGCATGGCCCTGCCTGGTCGAACCTCCGAAAAATATCTCCGTGCAGGCCGGGCACTCCGGCGTCAGGCCGTACTTCTCCGTCATCTTGGCTGTGATGTACACGTCCCTCTTGAGCCCTTCCTGGGCCCCAGCGGCACCTGGAGGAGGTAGAATAGGAAGTCCTACAGCCTCACGTCCTTCTAGAACCTGTGGTGCACGCCCCGCGCGATGTGCTACATCCCATGGCAGACCCCGAACTTTATCAAGAAGAGCTAGATCAAAACGTTCACCGTGGGGTCGCTGCCGGAACGACTTCGCGTAGCGAACGCCGTCCTCCGTCAAGATAATAAGGCTGCCTGACCGTGCAGAATGGCCGACGTACACACCCGGAATCATGATGTTCTCGTAGTCGCGCTTGCCAGCCCTAGTCACCGCCAGCCTCGCCATAATGCACTCTCCGAACAAGAATGCCGGTTTCTTCCACCGCCTGCCAGTTGACCGCTGCACCGGCGTACGTCCGTCCTCACCGACTTTGTACCGATTGGACGTCTGAGCCACGTGCCGCGCAAGCCACGCTAGGAGCACGTGGTCCTCAGCGAGTTTCCTTCCATACCGGTCTTCGGTGGACGTCTTGAGGGCACGGATGCCCTTCTTAGCCTCGCGGACGCCACTCTCAGCCGCACCATTGGCCTGGTGATCGCTCACAGGCGACTCCCGTGGCACAACTTCGATCTGCATGTCCTTCACAGCCTCCCTGCGCAGTTTCAACAACGCAGGCTCGTTGTCGCTCTTCAAGATGATCCTGCGGTACCCTAGCTCCACCAAGAAATTCGTGAAGTACTTCGCCGCATACGTGCTCGTCTTGCCGTCCAAGACAGTCGCGCCGATCATGCTGGTGACCCGGTCCTTGATGAAAACGTGCGTCGCAGCCTTCTCTTCCTCGCCCATGTAGAAGTAATCCGTGACGATCTCCGGAATCGCCTCCGTGCTCTCCGGGTCGTCCTCCACCACCTCGCGATGAGGTTGCCCGTAAGCCCTTGCAGCCACACAGTGCCTGCACCACGTCCGGTATTGAACGTGCCCTTGAAGTTCATGTTCCTCCACCTCTTCCCGTGACGGCTGCACGGGAATCTTCCGAGTCTTCGGACGCTGCGCTTCCTCCGATGCGTCCGGCTCCTGCCCTTGCGGCTCACGATCCCCGGCGGCGGGCTCGCCGAGGGCCGCTCTTGGGCTTACAGCCTGCCGGCCTGCCTCCGGCCCCCCGCCGGAGCCGAAGAATTGGCCGCCGCAGCCTCCATGGGAGCCAACTCCCGCTTTGACCTCGAAGCGTCGTCGTCCGGCTTCGCCCATTTAGTCGGGAACACCGTGCACGCAGCGCCCGTGTCCAGGTTGAACTTCCACAGCTCGTTCGTGCCGTCGTTCTTGTTCAGGTAGAAGTTGTACACGCCTCTCTCCTTCTTCAGCTTCAGCAGCTCCTGCTTCGGTGACGCCTCCAACTCGCTCTGGATCACCTCGTTGATCTTCTTGGCAAGGTTACTCGTCCTAGGGATCACGTGGCCGGTGTGCTCCTTCAAGATGATCATGCAATTCTCCGTGACTTTGCCTGCCGACACCAACGGCTTGTGGATGTCCGCCAGGCGCCCGTTCAACCGGAAGAGCTGGCCATTCAAGGAGTAACCAAGAAACTGGAACGGACCCTCGTCGTCCACGACCTCGCCACTCGCAGTCTTGAAGCTGTTCATGTCCACGGAGTTGACCTCAAGCTCCGGCTTCCTCAGCTCCACCTTGCCACGTTGAGGGGGTGATGACCTACTCTGGGCCCTCGAGCGCGAACGAATGTCAAAGCCGTCACTGCGAGACCTCGTCGCCGTACGAACCACTCCGTGTCCAAGTCCAGTGCCATGGTCACGTATAGCTCCGTTATCTCGTCCGTCTCGCTGGTCAGAGCCATCTCGATGATGATATCCAGCTCCACTATCTCGTCCGGCTCGCTCGTCACATCCAGCTCCATAATCGCACCTAGCTCCGGCAAGTGGTCCATCTCGCACGCCAGATCCGTCTCGACAGTCAGACCTAGATCCGGTATGTCGTCCAGCTCCCTTGTCAAATCCGTGTCCATAGTCAGACCTAGATCCGGTATGTCGTCCATCTCGCACGCCTGACCCGTGTCCATAATCAGACCTAGATCCGGTATGTCGTCCATCTCGCACGCCTGACCCGTGTCCATAATCAGACCTAGATCCGGTATGTGGCCCAGCTCCGTTGCCAGATCCGTGTCCCTCGGCACGCCAAGGAGCGTTATGCAATCCGGCTCGCGTGTCAGACCCATGATGGGGATGAGTTTGACGATGATGATCGTGAGGATGAGCGTCATGACCACTTCCGGCTCCATCGTCGCGCCGGCCCCCGCCGTTACGACGCCTGTCGTCGTCACGCCAGTCTCGTGCGGGAGGGCGTGTCCTCGGGTTGCCGTGCTCGTCGAAATCGTCGCTGGTGATGCTCGTGAGAGGGCACAGGTCGAGGGTGCACAATTCAAACGCCCCCGTCTCATGAGCTCCTCCTTGATCATGGTCATGCTCGTCCTCCTCTCCTTCCTCCTCAACAGAACGAAGTGGACGTCGATTACGATCTCGATTCTTATCCCCCTTGCCGTCTGACTTGCCTCCTTTCGGTCCTGATCCTCGTGTTTTGCCTTTGGTGTCCTTACCCTTGGAGTCCCTACCTTTGCCTTTGGGGTCGCTCTTTCCTCCGCGGCCTTTGCCGTCCTGGGGAGCTCTCCGGCAGTCGGAACTGCGATGTCCCCAGCCCCCGCAATTAAAACAGTAACCGTCGAAGCCCTTGCCGGACTTGCCCTTGCCGTCCTTGCCCTTCGGGTGCCTCTGGAGGGATCCCATGTCCACGTCCATGTCGCTGCCACGGTCTCAATGACGATCATGCTGCTGAACCTGTGGTCCACGAATCTTGGCTCCGAGCCGCGCCTCCACGTAACGCACGATCTCGGTCCTCATGTCCATGTAGGTGTCGAACCTCGTGGCGTTCAGCTGCAGGTGCGTCTCCAGCTCCTGGGGGACAAGGCTTTCGAGCGCAGCCATTTTTATGTCCTCTGGTAGGGTCCGGGCCTCTCCCCGGGGCGTTTTGGAGCGCTCGTACTTCGTCACCAACTCCTCCCAACGCTCCAAGCCGCCCGCAATAACGTCCATGGAGCACCTCCGGGTTGATGATCTGCCTAAGTAGGTTGCGAACCCTACCCCCAGTAAGTGGGTCGAACCGTCTGCTTAACTTCCGCCAGGCTTCCCTCCCGTTGGACCCAGAGTTGCACACGATGTCATTGGCCTCGCCCTCTGTGATCTGGACCAACATGCTGTACACCTGGTGGGACTTCTCCAAAACGTCATCGATCTTGTTGGCTGGATCCGCATCGTCGCCAAAAGCCTGCAGCAGTATGTCGTTCGTGATGGTCTCCTTATTCTCGATGGCCCACTCCATCACGTCGTCCAGAGACGGGCGCACGCTCACGATGAAGTTCTGGGTCTTCCTCTGCCACACGCCGAACTTCTTCTCTAGATCCTTCTCGTCCCCGCCTCCAAACGTAGTGGGTTTGCCTATGCCCTTGGTGTCCACAAGGGATGACGACCCACTCTTCGCAGCCATCTTGTCGATCGACGTCGCGAGGCGCTCGATGACCGACGTCTTGGCCTGCTCCGCCGCAAGCTGTTGACGTAGTAATTGAATGTCTTGTTGTTGACGTTCCAGCGTCGCCTGAAGCTGTTGCACAATCTGCTCCATTGTGTCGAACTCTACCTGAGTGTTGAACTCTACCTTTATGTTGAAATTAACCCTGGTGTTGAACTCTGGCTCAAGCCGTTCACGAAATAAACGAACCTATCGAGGAACGGGTGCGCGCGTATTGGGCTCTACCAGTGCGCTACCATAATCAAGTTTGCTTGCTTTTTCACTGAACCAAACGGCTATGGATACATCCCTACCTTACCTGCATCTTCCTACCTTCCCATGCTAATGATACGCTGCTGCATGAACACATGAGCACTCTGATCAGGATCTCCTGCCAAGCAGCCACCAAGACCCCTGCGCACCGCTTGACAATAGCACTCCTGACGTCTGCGGTACGACTGTTGCCAGGGGCAGCCCGGCGACCAGACCACCACCACCACCACTACAGCGACAACAACAAGCAGCAGCAGCAGCAGCAGCAGCAGCAGCAGCAGCAGCAGCAGCAGCAGCAGCAGCAGCAGCAGCAGCAGCAACAGCAGCAGAACTACCGCCACCACCACTACAAGTACGACCAGCAGCGCCGCCACCACCAGCACGGCGACCAGCACCACCACCACCATCACGACGGCGACGAGGGGCAGCACGACCACCAGCCGAACCACGACAACTACGACCTCAACGGCGACAACAAGCAGCAGCAGCAGCAGCAGCAGCAGCAGCAGCAGCAGCAGCAGCGGCAGAACCACCCCAACCACCACTACGACTACGACCAGCAGCGCCACCACCACCAGCACGGCAACCGACACCACCACCACCACCACCACCACCACCACCACGGCGACCAGGGGCAGCACGGCCAACAGCAGCACCACGACAACCACTACCACAATTGCGACAAGAAGCAGCAGCAGCAGCAGCAGCAGCAGCAGCAGCAGCAGCAGCAGCACCACCACCACCACCACCACCACCACCACCACCACCACCACCACCACTACGACTACGACCAGCAGCGCCACCACCACCACCACCACCACCACCACCAGCACGGCGACCAGCACCACCACCACCACGGCGACCAGGGGCAGCACGGCCACCAGCAGAACCACGACAGCGACGACCTCAATGGCGACAAGCAGCAGCAGCAGCAGCAGCAGCAGCAGCAGCAGCAGCAGCAGCAGCAGCAGCAGCAGCAGCAGCAGCAGCAGCAGCAGCAGCAGCCACCACCACCACCACCACTACCACCACTACTACGACCAGCAGCGCCACCACCAGCAGCATTGCGACCAGCACCACCACCACCACTACCGCCACCACCACCACAACGGCGAGCCCGCGACGGAGGCCGAGAAAGTCGAGGCGGCGACGGAGGCGGGGGCAGGGGCAGGGGACGAGGCGAGGAGGGCAAGGCTGGAGGCGCGGCAAGGGCAGGCGGCGGAGGCTGGCGGCGCGGGTGGGGCCGGCCGCGCTCGGGCCAGGCACTGCCGCGGGCTGGCCAGGACCGCTGTGGCCCGGGCCGCTGGCCGCGCCGCCCTCAAGCGCGCCGCGGTCGGCGGGGTGGGCTCGAGGCCGGAGGCGCGGGCGGGCTGAGCCAGGCAGTGGCTGCGGAGGCCAAAACGGGCCCTGTGGGCGCTCGGGCTGCAGCGCGCTGCGAGCCAGGGCGCGGCGGGGCGCGGCGGGCTGCGCCGCGAGATGCTTGAGTGGCGGCTGGCGGGGCTTGCCCGGGCCGCAAGCACAGGCGGGCCGACCTTAAGGCGGCGCGGCACAACGGCGCGCGGGGGGCCGCGCTGCGGACTAGCACTGGGGAAGAAGAAGAAGAAGAAGAAGAAGAAGAAGAAGAAGAAGAAGAAGAAGAAGAAGAAGAAGAAGAAGAAGAAGAAGAAGAAGAAGAAGAAGAAGAAGAAGAAGAAGAAGAAGAAAAAGAAGAAGAAGAAGAAGAAGAATAAGAAGAAGAAGAAGAAGAACAAGAAGCCGAAGAAGAAGAACACTAAGAAAGAAGAAGAAGAAGAATAAGAAGAAGAAGAAGAAAAAAAAAAAAAAGGAGGAAGAAGGAAGGAAGAAGGAAGAAGGAAGAAGGAAGGAAGAAGGAAGAAGGAAGGAGGAAGGAAGAAGGAAGAGGGAAGAAGGAAGAAGGAAGAAGGAAGAAGGAAGAAGGAAGGAAGAAGGAAGAAGGAAGGAGGAAGGAAGAAGGAACAGGGAAGAAGGAAGAAGGAAGAAGGAAGAAGGAAGAAGGAAGGAAGAAGGAAAGAAGAAGGGAGAAGGGAGAACGGAGAAGGAGAAGAAGAACGAGGGAGCAGGGAGAAAGGAGAAGGGAGAAGCAGAAAGATAAGAAAAATGAGAAAAAGAGGAAAAAGAAGAAGAAGGAGAAGAAGAAAGAGAATAAGAAGAAGGAAAAAAAGAACCAAAAAAATGTTCAGCTGTTTCTGGAGAGCCCACGAGAGAAATTCGAAGTTCAAGAAAGCATGTTTTGGATTCCGGGTTCCTCGACGCGCATCCTTGCCGCTATCCGACCATGACCCCCTGCCGTCTGCAGTGAAAAGAGAATGGTATATGCTCGAAGTGGTACGCACCAAAACCGTGGTATGGCCATGCAGTTCGCTCACTTCCTCTCCGCCCCGCATCGTTGATCCAGTCAATCCTGCGTTGTTCTGGTCCTGTTTGCACGCGTCGTGTTGCCCCGTTTCGTCGTTGCCCTCTCGCGTTTCTCCTCCGCGCTGCGCGCTTGCCCCCCCGTCGCCTTGGCGCCGTGCGTGGCGGTTGTCTTGGCGTGCATTGTGGGCCGTGTTGGGCTGTGCTGCCGTGCCCTGTTGCGACGGGGTTTGCTCCGGGGTCGGCTTCTGCTGTTACTGTGCTGGGCCCTGCTGTGAGGCGTCGATTTGCCCTACGTGCCCCGCCGCAAACGTGACGCTCCTCCCCCCCTCAGCCAATGGAGGAAAGATAATTCAGTACCATATGGTCGTGCCTCCTTACGTACTTTGGTGTTGTACAATGCTCGATCCATGCTTTGCGCGTGCCATCTGGCCAAGTAACATGCTGGAGATCCGACTAGGTCAGCTTTACCTGATGGTTGTCGGGACGGCCGGCTTCATCATTGAGTTCCCTTTTATAGTATCATCTTCGTGCTCACGGTTGTCGGGGGGCCGGCTTCTGCATTGAGTGCCCTTTTATACTATCATCTTCGTGCTCATGGATGTCGCGAGGGGCGGCTTCATCATAGAGTACCACTTCGACGCCGACGTGGCGCACCTTTTCTTCGACTAACACACCCTCGCCTATTTCTTCGTTGCCTTTTTCCTCTGCTGGCTCCTCTTCTCCTCCTTCGTGATTCTCGTGAATGCCCTCCAGGACTGGGTGGCCCTCGACAGCTACGCAGGGAGCTACATGTGGATCTCCCCGAGCACGGCCGTGAAGCCCGCCAGCAATTTTACCTGCTTGTCCCGGGGATCTTCGCCGCCCCAGTTTCCTTGCTTGCCTTGCGCGTCTTCCTCGTTTTCCTGCTCTTGTCCGCCATGCCGCTGGTCGCGCGAGCAGGGCCATCGCGTTGCCGCCTCTCGGGCCAGGGGAGGCGCCTTTTTCGAAGGCAGGCGCCGTCGCCCTGGATCGCCAGGCGGGTGGGTCGGCGAGGGCTACGAGCTTGCTGTATTCACGCAGGCTGCCTTACGAAGGGAGGTGAAAGACCCGACCTGAGGCGGAGGCACCCTGCGCTCCGCCTCGCCTGCATCTCTCCGGGA